GAACATGAAGTTAAACACCTTGATGAGAAAGTAGCTTACCAAGAATGGTGATCCTTGATGAAGAGTTCTTGATCTCACACAAGCACACACGAAATTGAAGAGAAAGTATGGGTGAATTCTTAGGGTTCTAGAGAGATTCTTTGATGTAGTTGTAATGAAAGAAGATGAGGGTGGTAGGATGCACCTTGGCCGAATTTAAGAAGAGAGAAATAGAGAGAATGGAGTGGTTATTACATGGAGGGTTTGAGCTCTAGAAATATGGGATTTGTTGCTTGGATTACCACTAAACATTTGTGAGGTGGCAACACCCTAATTATCCTCTCATTTTTTTTGTTTTAAAACCGAGAATGAGAGAGGGGTAGGAGAAAAGATTAAACATTGTGCTTAAACTTGGTAGCCATCAAAAACATGTAGCCGAATAAGAATTTTTTTTTTCATCCCATTGGGCCCTCTTATGAGTTCACGACCCAAAATGGGTAAAAACAATGGGTTTTCAGCCCATTACAATTATTTATGTGGGTCTTGGCCCAATAAGGCCCATGAAAACGAAGTGCGACATTTTAGGCCCATTAAGGCCCATAAAAAGTATTATGGCCCAAAATGTAGTTTAATGAATGCAGGTCCAATTAGGGCCCAAATGAGGTTTCTTAGCCTAGAATATTTCAAATTGAGAGTTTATTGGCCCAACAGACCCAATAAAACGATCTTGGTCCAATCTGAATTTGAACCGGAAATTAGGGTTACAACCCCCAAAGTAGAGTGTATGAAAAGTATCGAATTAGGTTTTGGGCTTCACGAGTCAGTTTTGATTTGAATTGTTGTTTTTGAAATAAATAATGTGTATATCCTTAAACTTGAAGTTACAAGATACATCGAGAATTGATTACATATAGACAAAATTTCCTAGCCAAAATGTTAGTTGTGAGAAAGATGTTATTGAGTGTTCTTGAATCTATGAATATGTTTATCAAACACAAACCCGGAGAGAGAAAGAGAGAGAGAGAGAGAGAGAGAGAGAGATGTGGGTATTTTCTTTTTTCTTTTTTCTTTTTTGATTTATGTAATAAAATAATTAAAAGGGGGAAAAATCACCGGCTTATCCGTTCCTTTTTGGCCAAAAGATGTGAGTTTTGATATACCAACCATTCTTGTAATTTTGTCTATTTTTCATTATTATTTATGTAAATTACATCGAATGGTCCTCTGATTTATAGTAATCTCATGTTTAGACTTCGAGCTTTTTTTTTAAACTTGGAGAAATCCTTATTGTTTCAATTTCGCTCCCTAATCAACATACAAAGACAATTTCCCCTTAATGTTTTTTTATTATTAATTTATATTTATCAATTTATTCAGAAATAAAGATATGATTTTGAGAAAATACCGCTAATAGTGTAACGACCCAAAATTTAAGACTAAAAATTTCTTTTAACAAAACATTACTTTAAGCAAGATTCATCATTTCAGAACATAAATAGAGTATTAGTTTTCAAAACACATGATCATTATCAGAATAAACATTCCCAGGCTGACAAATCTATGGTGTGTGCCATGCAATCACCCCGAGCTCCTCCCTCCGCTACCGGAAGTACCTGAACGCAAAACTGAAAATTATAAGCACGAAGCTTAGTGAGTTCCCCACCCTACCACATACCAAACATAGAAAATAACATACATAAATTGTCAGACATATCTGGGTGCCCGACCTACCCCTTCGATCCTCTCGACCGGATACTGCCTAGCATATCTGGGTGCTGGCCTCCCCTTCGGTCCTTTCGACCGGATACTGCCTAGCATATCTGGGTGCTGGCCTCCCCTTCGGTCCTCTCGACTGGATACTGCCTAGCATATCTGGGTGCTGGCCTCCCCTTCGGTCCTTTCGACCGGATACTGCCTAACATATCTGGGTGCTGGCCTCCCCTTCGGTCCTCTCGACCGGATACTGGGGAAACTATCTCCCCCTACTGCTACTACAATCACATATCATACATAACATATAACATACATACTGCCAGGCTATTCTGGGGTGCCTAACTACCCGGTACGGCCATTCTGGGGTGCCGACCTACCCGTGTCAAGCCATTCTGGGGTGCTGACTACCCATGTCAAGCCATTCTGGGGTGCTGACTACCCATCGGTCCCAACAACCGATCCTCGGGGACTGGTCCCCTCCTACTACCTCTACCGCATAACATAACAGGCCAGCATGCAAACATATCATCACGTACTGTCAGATGATTCTGGGGTATCTGACTACCCTTCGGTCCTAACAACCGAACTCTACTGCTATCACATATAAAGTATCATGCTAGCATATAACATAACAGGTAGTAGCAATAAAGATGATATCACAAAGACAATCATCCAACATACAACTCCTACTGGTGGGCCGACATTGTGGCCTTAGACCCACCGCTACTGGAAGGTAACTCACCTGCACAGGCTGAACTTGCTGATGCTCCCACTATCTGCTGCCTGACCACTCACTGAACTCCGACTCTTCTAGCTTTCCGAGCTATCAATATCAATGCAACACTTAGCTTAACTGACCCATGACAGTCAACCAAGTCAACTCTAGTCCAAGTCAAAGTCCTGGTCAAATTCAACCTTCCAGGTCAACCCTACTCGCCGAGTCCACTTACTGACTCACCGAGTTCTTATGCTCAAAGTCCTTCTAATCGCGACTTGACTCGCCGAGTCAGCCCCTGACTCGCCGAGTCTACCGATTCCCGAATCCTGACCTGATCAACTCACTGAGTCCTGGCTCGACTCGCTGACTCGAGTCTTAACTCGAAGGGTTTGGGACCACGCGACCTGACTCGTCGAGTCCAAGAACAGACTCGCCGAGCACAAGGCAATCTCCAACCAACTCGCCGAGTTGTTCATCCAACTCGCCGAGTTCATGCCCATCTTCATCCGACTCGACGAGCTGTTCATCCCACTCGTCGAGTTCCTCCTCATCTTCAAGATACTCGCCAAGTCCAGTTGGCTAACCACACATGCAGAGGACTTTCGAGTCATGCAGGGAGTCCAAACAGTAGATCTACCCTTCCCAAGCCCATTCCTCACGTAAAGTTGCAAACTTTACGTGTAGAGAAGGAGATCTAAGCAAAATGCACCATAAACTAAGGCTTAAGACCAAGAGGCTCCATAATCCACTCAATGACTGATACTTTACGGGATTCTAAACCAAAACAAGCATGGATCTGAGGTAGCAACCTCAGATCTGGACCTCAAGCTCGAGATTGATCTTAAACATGGCTTAAAAGCCCCAAAACTCATAACCAAGGAAATATGGAGGAGGGAAACGAATTAATACCTTCAAGTGCTCTGAAATGATCCACAAACTTCGGATCTAAAGCCACTCCTTGATGCTTCGAAGATTCCCACTTCTTCTTCTTCCTTTAAATCACTCAAAAATGGCCAAAAGCATGAATGAGCACAATGGGGCTTAGGGTGCGGCGTTCTGGATGTGAGGGACAGTAAAGGAGCCCTAGGAAGAAGGATGAGGCGATTAAATAGGCTCCAAACCCCGGATTTAGGGTTTTCCTCGCATAGACCCTACTCGCCGAGTCGCCTTGGCCGACTCGTCGAGTTGGTCACTTAATCCTCGACGCGGATCCCGCTCGGACTCGCCGAGTTCCTCCTTGGACTCACCGAGTCCCTCCTAAATTTAGGGTTTCCTTTACTTTCTTGACTTTCAAAATCTTGGGTGTTACAACTCTCCCCCACTTAAACTAAACTTCATCCTCGAAGTTTATCATGGTCCACCGCCTGCTATCTAACTCCAATACCCCACCAATTGATCCAACACCAGCTGCCTACCTTCGCTGGTCTTCCTCCTGATTATTCTGGCTGACATCAATCCTTACGGATATCCATCTCGAGTCAATCCTGACCCTGAACATTCTGGAAACACAATTTACTCAACCGACAATCCTTCTGGTACTCACTTAGTACTGCAACTGAACCCATAGGGGTTCACCCCTTCTTTCCTCACGCGATTCCCTTGTCTTCCAAAGGCAATGCTCCAAAAACGACTATTTCTTCTGTCACTGTGAAGATCCTATCTTCACCAATTCATTATTCCCGCTAACTCCAATACGGGTCATCACCGCTAGTACCCCTGACACTCCTCTCTGGTCATAACTTGGTGTCGAGCACCCCTTGACTCAGCGAACTGAATTCCACCATAACCCGCTTACCCGCACTTCTACTGACTGAAACACTAAACTGCCTGAAACACCGAACTTCCTGATGCACTGAACTGACTGAAACACTGAGTTCCAACTCAACTGTGGAGTCAAAGGATTCCTTACTTAGTCGCTCCCACGACTTCTGAACGAAATCTCTCTCTAGAACTAGTTTCCACTAGTTATCATGTCACTGATGCTCTAACAACCTTCCGATCCAATCAGTCGGACCCATACGTCACATCCTAACATCATCCATTCCACGACTAACAACATGATGGCTCCCAGACTGACGGTAGCCCTTAACGTACCCGAACCCCAACGGTCTACTGCTACTCTGATCTCATAACTGATGTGACGATCTATAGCCAAATTGCTGACTTAGCCATAACTGAACCATTTGGGAAATCCGAATTCTAACCCGTGGATTCCCATATCCTCACTGCTGCACCCGAACGGGTGGGAATTACTGCTTCCCCGCATCCAACAACGCGCTCATGCTGCCTACCAATTTGATAAAAGCCACGGCTACACCCGCGGACTCACGACTCTCCAATACTATCTGGCTGCTAGTGAATGCTACGGCTACCCCCGCAGACTTACAACACTACCACTTCCGACTGCTAATACGAAGACACCCATGAGCCATTAGCTCTCAAGATCCTCATTCCAACTCCCTCGAGTCATACGGGCGATCCACAACCTGAATTCCCAACCACGAAGACTTCACCTCCGGCGGTGACAACTTCAAGTTGATATGACTTCAAATTCTGGCGAAATCGAGTCGTAGAGCTCCTTCCATCACTGATGGTGCCCGAATTCCCCGATGTTATGGCAGATGGCTACGGTTCCCAGGTATTTCTCACATTCTCATTACACTAATGTCGAATATGATTCAAATTAGAGGAAAAACCATTTTATTAAACTGAATATGTATACAGATTTCGGATTTTTAGGTTTAAAAATTAACAGTTTCGTTTTTTGGAGATGATCCATTCTGCGTAGGTGGACGTCACTCCGCAGAGTTTGCTCCGCGGAGTGATGTCTTTCTTCGCGGACTGTTATAATCGAATAATTGGTCCCTCCGCATAGGTTAGATGTCACTCCGTAGAGTTGCCTCCGTGGAATGAGCTCTAGCCTCCGCGGAGTGATGGTTTTTGACAAAAAAATTTTTTTTCTACTTTTAAGTATGTTGCTATTTTTTTCATAATGGATTAATATATATATTTCTACTTTTATATATTTGTTGTGTAGCACGAAGATCTCAATCAAAAAGCGGAGTTAACTTTGAAAGAAATGGTTGGGACTATGATTAAAAAGTATTTTCCGCGCCTAACACAATCACAACGAGTATTATTCGAAGCTTCCCCCTTTGGAATATTTTTAGGAATGCATATCCCACATGGTGATCCATTACTTGTGCATATGATGATGTTGTACGAAGTAAGGTCTCAACCAATATTTGAAATGTGGAGGTTTCTGTTTGATATACAGGGGATCTAGTTGGATTTTGATGAAACTGAATATATTCTGATTTGTGGTTTAAAAGTTGGTCCTTATGTGGATTTACTCTATGACGAAAAGGGTCGGTCAAATTCACAGCTCCGTGCTCGGTTGTTCCCAGATATTTCAGATTCACGTTTGCGACTGAAAGATTTAGAAGACTTTATTATGTCCCCGAATTATTCGGCACTACAAGATGAAGATGCTGTGATGCTTATCCAACATGTTTTTATGTTGAAGGGTCTACACGGACAGGATGTTAAAACGGGCATTCCTGCAGCAGTATACAAGCTTGCTGATAATATAGATGATTGGAACAGATATTACATTTAAAACAGGAATGTCCGCAGTAGTATGCCATGCATTAATTATAATTAATAAATTGAAAATTGCAGGTTTACATGGGGTACGTATTTTTGGAAATATACTTCACGTATGATGTGTGGAATGTTTGAGAAAATAGAAGAGTTTAGACAATTCAAGCAGGCGAATCCCGAATCGAAGAAAGGATACAAGTATACCGTTCCTGGTTTTATGCTTCCGTTTAAGGTTAGTTTCTAATGCATTTTAATAGTTATGATTGTTTAGTTTTTTATACAATAAAATTTTGAACTTCGTTTTGTATTATATAATAAGTTTGTATCATGAATTTTTTTTCATAGATATGGATTTTGGAGACGTTCACAGAGGCAACCATGTTTTATATACGCACGCCGATAGAATTGCCACGGATGAGGGCGTGGAGAAGTAAAACACCGTTAAATTGGGAACAATGTTGTCGAATAATTAACGTGTCTATGGTATGGTTTTTATATTAAGAATAATTTATATTTACAAATTTCAATGTATTTTCATGTTAAACTAACCATCTGATTTTTTCAGCCAAACAACAAACCTATTAATGTCGTGGCAAACCCGGAGGAGCTGATGTTGCCGTTTTATGTTCGTTATGTCAATTGGACTCTTAACCCTGTAGAGTCTCCCCCACGACAACATAGTCCTATTCCAAATAGTCCACCTCATGTTGACTCGGCTGCTCAAAGAAGGATGTACAAGTCCGAAATAGAAACATCTACAACTGAATCTGCCACAAATGCTTCTTCCTCACAACATCTTGAAACTAGTTATATGTCAAACAACACATCAAGATTGACAAATGTGACAACCGTCAAAATTCGAGTCGGTTCTAGATTTGACTAGACTTAGTTGCACATATAGGCACCACACGTATTAGACTTAGTAACTAGAAGCTAAGTTATAACCTACTAGAAACTTGGAAACAATTAGAATCAATGGATAGTGTACTTAAATTTCACATTGATATATGAATTTTACTACTACTTAACTGTAGTGACTATCCTTATTCAGGCCACTCTTTGACTCGAACACCTTTTCATGAATCATATACACACATTATGCACTTGACCTAGTAGTAGAAATTAGGTCGGAGTCTCATAGAAACTTAAGTCAAAGTTGTAGACTAGGACTAGTATACTTGATTCCTCAATTTCGCTTGAATCTCGGAATCACTACATAGAATGCCAATAAACCGATAAAAAAATATTACAAACATTATTTCTAACTTGAATAAGAGTTATGCCCTAAAAACTCATATTTATAAACTTTAACCTTAAAAATTTCTATAAAAATAATTATGAAACTTATAATATGATCTTATAATAATAAAAATTATGAGAATGCAATTAAGAAAAATAAAATTTAAGTCATTAGTATTTAACCTTATTTCTATGCAAAAAAATCAAGGTTTTGTGAATAAAAATTAAAATAAGGTGCATATTTATAAAAACTTGATATTTTTATAAAATAAAGTTATAATTTTATAAAATTAAGAGAGGGAGACCCTTTCTCCACTCCAAAGTCGGACTCCCTCCTCCCAAGATGTCTCTCCTCTTCCCAACACAAAATGATTCTTCTTCTCTCTCACACTCCATCTTCCCTCATTTTCTCTCATTTCTCTCTCACACTCTCACACACATTTTTTCTCTTCCTTCCACTATGAACCACGAAATTTTACAGCCAACATGTCCAAGAACACTCAAGATACTCAAAATCTTCATCATCTAATGGTGTTCATTAAGATAGAACACGATTTCCTTTCATTTCCCTTCAAGTTTTCATGGATTTTCTTGCATTTCTTTGTTCTTCTACACCATTCTAATGAAAGATCATGAACACATAAACATACACACACAAAAACTCATGGTTTTGATGATGATGGTGGTAGAATTTCACCCAAAAACAACATGCATGTTGTTAATGGTGAAATCCAAGGAGTAAAACCTAAGTCAAAATCAACATAATGCCATTTTATACAAGTTTTGGGTAAAAATCACCACATGCATCCAAAGTTTTCTATCAAAAATGATTTTTGAACATTTCAAACTCATGAATGGTCTTCAAAACAACATGCATGTGATGATCTTCAAGCTTAGATGCTTGATGATCAAAGTTGTTGTTAAAAAGCTTTCAAATATGTTAATGAAAGATTTATTTCTAAATAAATATCTAAAAATCATTTTCTGACCTAATCTGATTTTTCCCAGATTCTCATCAACAAAATAAGATGCTCTGTAAATTTCCAGAAGATAATTCATTTTTCTCGAATTATTATAATTGATGCAATAAAATATGGAAATAAATCATATAAAATAATTCCAGAGGTCTATAAATCCGGAATAAATTTGTGGACGACCCCTATGGTGAATAATGACCTCTAATTAAATTTCATCAATTTATGTTACTGTTTAGTATGATTTTCCGTTTTCTTTTTGTTTGGGTATAATAAATCACAAAAACACTTTAGGAAGTGTGAAAATTGTATCTAACAATTTTCACAGATCTTACCTGTGGTGGGAGACTCAGAAACATAATTTCAGAATTTTTTTTCATCATGCCTTCCTATTTTTCCCAATTTTTGGTAACTATAATGGCCTAAAAATAGGAAAAATAGTTCTGATTATCCAAAATTCATGAAATTTTACCAGAACATCATGCTTTACAGTAGGAGGTTACATAAAACTTTTGATGATTTTTCTCTACTGTATACTATTTTTCTTCTATTTTCTAAGGTTAAATACACTTAAATATACATAAATACCCAAAACCGGATTATACAATATGAAAACCACTTTTGGTATTTTTTCCAGATTACTTACATTGTAAATGATGTTACAAAAATTTTTGGTAATTTATTTTAACTGTTTATTATTTATTCTTCAATTAATGATTATTTAAGGGGGTAAAACAAGGAAAAATAGAAATACCCACTGAAAAATATCTTTTATATTTTTCCCAGTCTAATTATGTATAATAACAGTTAAAAAAAAGTTTGGGGTAATTTTGGAAACTGTTTTCTATTTATTTCAATTTTTATTAGAATAAATGCTCAAAAATCATAAAATTGGGTTAAACAGTTTATAAATCGATTTTTATATTTTTCCCAACTCAATAATCTTTAATAAAAGTAATAAAAAAAGTTTGAGTAATTTTGGAAACTGTTTTCTATTTATTTCAATTTTTATTAGAATAAATGCATAAAAATCATAAAAAATGGTTAAGGAGTTTAGAAACCCATTTTTATATTTTTCACAGTATAAGTATGTGTAATGACAATACTATAAAAAGTTTGGGGTATTTTCTTAACTGATTTCTATTTTTCATGAATTTTTATATATTTAGAGAATTAAATATATGAAAAATGGTTATGCATATCCATAATCCATGAAAAATTATCTAGTAGTCTTTTAACACATTTAGAACCAAAATCTGAAGTTTGGTAATTTTTATTAACTGTTTAGTATTTTTCATAATTTTATGGTTATTCAAGAAACTAAAGTGGTGAAAAATAGATAGACAAATCAAAAATTCAAGAAAATTTATCTTGAGGTCTTTGACTTCAATTAAAACTAAAATGCAAAGTTTGGAAAATTTTAGAACTAAATTTATTTAGTTTTGAATATTTAATCATTGGAACACCTCTAAAATGTTAAATATTAACATTTCAATAATGGAAATTTTCCGATTAAATTGTTATATAACAATTGATTCTTTGAAACTTAATTTCCACAGAAAAATATTTATAATTTATCAATATTCAATTGTGACTCAGTATTGGCATAATTCTATTGTAGTAGTAAGTATACTAGTGTTACATCTCGATTAAAGACTCACTAGTAAATACCAATATTGTAGGAATCGGTAGTGGTACACGTGGAACATAGTCAAGGCACCATTTGCATCATCTCAATGTATTGTGAGTATTCACGCACTCCCCTATTTTCAGTTTTTATGTTTTGGGGTGGAAAAACATGTCCAGAAAAACTATTATTTGCATGTTGTATTTAAATTGATTTGTATCAAACATGATTGCTATTGTATTGCTATGTCTCTCTATGTATGTCTATGCAACACGAAACATGAGAACTTATCGTACTAAGGCCCTTCCCTTATCTCTAACCATTAACTCTTTGAGCCAATGGTCATTATGGATAGCGCTATTAGGAATTGACAACTCCTCACTCGCCCTATTGCTGGAGTGCATGATACCATATTCATCTATGGAACGATAAGCATAGATCTCGATAGGGCTTCGGTCATAGGTTTGGTTGAGACTCATTGTTTGCTCATACACATACAAACTCGTTTCTCGTTATAGCAATAAAATTGTTATCAATAATAGCAATCAACTGGTTTCTCATTATAGCAATGAACTCTATTTCTCATTACAACAACGAACTTTTACTAGTGGAAACTTATATACATGTTTTAGTAATGAAATTGTTTGCTCCTTGTAGCAACGAAATTGACAGCTCATTTTAGCAATGAAACTTGTTTACTCGTTTGAGTAACGAACTTTATCTTCCATGAGAATATGAATGTTGCATCTTATTCGGGCAATATACTTTATCTCTCATGATGACAAAGAATTTTGCTTTTACAAACTTATTTACTCATTTTAACAATATACTTGTATTATTGGAAGCTTTTATCAAAACTTTGATTTCAACCCATGGAACCAAGATTATTTTGTTTATTTGTGAGTACTCACCAACTATTTTATAGTTGACGCTCGTTTTACATGTTTTTTTCAGGAATTATCGAGTAAGTGGCACTTAGGGACACTTCACTATTAGGAGCATTTGCATGTGTTGTATTCCAATTTTCATTGTAATTTCTTTTCAAAGTTGTTCAAACCCATTGTAAAATTTTAATGATTTTTAATACTATGGTTGGTGTTGTCTTTTAACTTTTGCTATGAAACCCTTTATACTGCCACGCCTCGTGTTTCCGCTTTAGCGGGGTGTGACAACAAAGAAGAAGAAGAAGACGAGCACAAAGGCATTAGTGAAGCGTCTCATAGGCGTTGTGGCAGAGTTAACTTCTAAAGTAGACCGTGCATTACAGAAAAAAGATGTACCAGACACAAATGTTGAACCAGACAGAGGGTTTCAAGAGGAGGAAGAGATGATAAATGAAGAGGAGGAAGAAAAATATCAACATCATACATATTTTGACTATGATGATATCGGGACTCAAGGTTTGGAGGGGGAATTTTGGCCTACACCTACGCATGTTGAGCAGTCATCGGACGTGGGTGAAGATCACACAAAAGAAATGACTCCCATTGGTAGGCCGCAACGAAAGAGGGGTGTTCCATGGTTTCAGCGGACTCCGTTCACAGTGGTACAAAACTCATATTTTAAATTTGATATATTTTTAAAATATTAATGTATTGATAATTATTTAACATGTTAATTTTTTAGTTCCAATCCACACCAAAAGTGAAGAAAATCACCAAACCAAAGAAAAAAAAAAGTGGTGAAGAGTCCTGAAAAACCAAATGAAGACATTGTGAATGAAGAGAGTAATGATGTTTCAAATCATCTCCTGCTCGACAGTGTTGAAGCTGCCAGTACGTTGAGTTTTTGGAAAGAATGGAATTCGATCTCTGCCAACCTAATCACTAAGCATAGGCTGCATATGCTCACACTGGATGTCGACGTTTGGTCGAGGTTACTTGCAGTTACTGACACTGGGTGGTTACTTTCTTCGGTAACATTCGTTAAATATAATTTTTAACTACAATTTTAGATGATAATTTATATAAAAAACTGTAACATTTTTATCTTAAAATGTACAGCATATTGCGATATGGGGTGCCTTGCTCATGGAAAGACGGCCGACGAACGCAAGGTGGACGATATTCCCTCAAGAACTTAGTTTGCAAAAGGGAAAAACATATTTTCTTAGGAATATCGCAAATGGTGTCGAAGGCCATCCTAAATGGAAGGATGTGGATAAGGTTAGTTAAGTTTATTAATTATTTATTTTATATACGAAATGAATTAATGACTATTAATTTTTTTTTTGTTTGCAGGTTGTATTCCCCCTAATCATTCCTCATGTCCATTGGTTTTTGGCAGTGCTACATTTAGATACTTGGAAAGTAGACATCTATGATTCAGCACGATGTATGAATCACTTCACAAAGTACTACGTTGGTGGAGAATTCAAAAGTTTTGGGGATAGTCTAATTGAAGAGCTAGATGCGATTGAATACTGGAAGGATTTCCCTGATGAACACAAAGACAACACAGTTGTGGAGTTTATTGATATTGTAGATGCGCCACAACAAGAGTATATTAGTGAAAGAGGGGATTGTGGAGTATTCGTATGCATGTTTATGGAAATGATTGCTTTGGGGGTACCGGTGAAGAGTGATAAGCCATGTAGAGATGCAGGATTTCTCTACAGAAATAGGATGACAAATATAATTTGGGATACTAAATAACTTGATGTTTGGTAGTTTGTATACATTATTATGAAAGACTTGTTTTGAGTAGAACATTACAAATAAAGGATTAACGACTAACAAACATTACATAGAACATTACATAAAACATTACAAATAAAAGATTAACGACTAACAAACATTACATAGAACATTATGAATAAAAGAGTCGTCTACATGAAAAAGGGTTTTTTTCTAACCAGATTCCAAACGTCCGTATACTCGAACTCATTTTCATCAAACTGGCACAGATAGTATCCGTTCACGTATTCAAGAAGTTCTTCATCATTAGCATCAGAGCATAGCATTTTCTCATAATTGTAGCATCGATTGTACCATGTGACTTTAGTCTTTAAATCCATCCATTTACTAACAATATCAGGTTTTAGTCGTTGTTGTCCTTGTCCCACTTTAAAGTTGAACAAAGCTACTAAGCGGGACCATTCATCACCAACAAGGCAATTAAGGGGAGCCATTACCGGCAGACCCTCGTAAATAGTAATCCAACATCGTGTTAGGAGCAACACCTCTGTTGTCGTCTATGGAGATGCACCATTTGTTGGAGCAGAAGCATTAGACAGATTACCTGCATTAGAAGACATTGGTACATTGGATGCCATTTTATGAAGAGATCCGTTATCTCTAATTTAGACGTATAGATACGTGCTTTAATATATATATAAAATGATAGGTAACATGGACTGACAAGTCAGTAACGCGGACTGAGCATTCGCTTTGCGGACTGACAACGCAGTAACGCGAACTGACAAGTCAGTAACGCGGACTGAGCATTCTCTTTGCAGACTCACAAGTCAGTAACGCGGACTGAAAACGCAGTAACACGGACTGACAAGTCAGTAACGCGGACTGAGCATTCGCTTTGCGGACTCACAAGTCAGTAACGCGGACTGACAACGCAATAACGTGGACTGACAACCCCGTAACGCGGACTGACAACGCAGTAACGCGGACTAACAAGTCTATATAAAACGACAAACAACAATGTATCACTTCATTTAAGGTATTTTAGTTCATATGCTTTGTATGTTTTACAATGGGTTCAAACCGATGGACCGCTAACGAGTATTTCCTTCTAGCTCGTGCATATATTAATGTCAAAGAGAACACCAGTTTGGAGGATAGAATGTTTTTCATCCAACTAACGAATACCTTCAACACTGACGCTGAAACCACCATACAAAACCATCGCAACACGCTTGATATAGCTGCAAAATGGTATGAATTGAAAACGGAAGTTGTGTTATTCAACGATCTTTATAATAAGATTGAAGATGATCGTGTTAATGATACTGAGGAAGACATCTTGGAGGCGGCTAAAGAAGAATACAAATCCATTAGCAACAGACAGAGTTTCGAGTTTGAAGCCCCTTGGAATCTTTTGAAAAATGTACCGTTTTTTTAACTAGAACTGCATTTTATATTGTTCTTGTATTTCTTTATTTAAATGTAATATGGTATTTATCTTTTATTTTACAAAAAATATTTGACCAACAAATGTTACAAAACCATACGTTCAAAAAACATTATCTGACAAACAGGTTACGCGGACTGACAAATAAGTTACGCGTAATGACAAGACATTTACGCAGACTCGCAAGTAAGTTCTGCGGAATAATGTATATTAATTCCTTATAAATTGGACAACCATGACGAAAATTTACAAGGTGTCGAAAGTTGTGAAAATGAGTTCAGTCAATCAGGTATTAAGGAAAAGTTTCTCCAGCCTACCGACTTTTTTCCATAATCTGCAAAGAAGCAATCCTAACACCTTCACGTACATTACGAAAGATCAGTACAATCATTTCCAAATTTGTTTCGTGGCATTGGGATGCATGGTATGTAGTCCCTTATAGTAAATAAATATTTAGTTATTTCAAGTTGTTATATGCCTAATATTCTTATGTTGACTTACAGATTCGTACGTTTCTCACGTCTATGATACCAATCATATTCGTTGGTCAAGTACCTCTAATTGGGGCGTATGTAACATCCATGTACATTGTTGTTGCTTTAGATGAAAATCATGAAACCCTTCTCATAGCGTTTGCCTTGGGAACCATAAACTGTGACAATTCATGGTTATGGTTCATGAGGAGGCTTAAAGACTGTTTAGGTGACAATACAGAATTTGGTTTCATAAGCCATATGTCTGATTCTATAGACTTTGCAGTCCACAGAGTCTACCCTGATTCATATCATGGCTATTGTTGTAAAAATATAGCCGAGAAAATACGCGCTTCCATCGGAAGCAATACAGTCGTAGAGCAGTTGTTCTGGAAGACGTGTAAAGCGTATAATTTATCTCAATTTTATGCATGTTTGAACAATTTAAAAAATGAGGTTAATGCGAATGATCTTCATTGGCTTGACAATATTCCAATTGCAAAATGGGTACGGGCTTGTTTTCCAAGAGTACGTTTCAAAGTTAAATTCATTGACATTCCTGATGTTGTCAATTGGCTTAAAACAAACACGCATGAGTTTCCAATAACAACAATCATTGAAATTGTTCATGACTCGATGCAAGCAGTGTATCTTCGACGTGCTGCGTTTGGAGGTAATTATAAGTTATGACATCATTAAAATGGTGAATTGATATGTTATTATACGTTATGACATCACAAGTTTTTTTATTGATTCAGTTGATTTCACAGGGGATTTCCATAATCTTTTAACCCCTTATGCACTTAAGGTGATTCACAAAAGATTTATCCACTCGGATGGTTGTACGATTATGCATATTGTTGGCGATAGATATGAAGTGACTAAGTATTCAACAACCGAATATGTCCAATTAGACCGTGGTATTTGTAGTTGCGGTAAATGGCAAAAATGCGGTATACCTTGTGAGCATGCTATAGCTTCACTACACAGACTCGAAATTACAGAAATCCATCAAATGGTAAATTTAAAGTTAAGTACAGCGGTGTATCGAAATGCTTATCAAACTGAGACGGTCAATCCTATTCCAACCCTTAGGCATTGGGAAAAACCAGTCGAAAGTGTTGTGGTCTTACCTCCACGCCAATTCAATTGAACTTTATTGTATGGATCACAACGAATATTAGTTTGTATTCAGTTCTATGTTAACCGTACTTGTAATGGTCTGTTGGCGTTCTTTACTTTTTAATAAAAAAATGTTTACCTTTAAATAAATAATTGTATTCTCATAATTGTAATGTATGCATGAGAACGACTAGACAAAAAACTATGCGAACTGACAAACGCAGTAACGCGGACTGACAAAAACCTCTACGGACTGACAACAGCTCTCTGCGGAGTGGAAGAGACTATATATAGTCATGGATGGTCGTCGGATTTTTCATATAGAGTTATAATTTTTTTTTTAAATTTAAAATGACTTCATCTTCATCTTTGTATATTTGCTCGTGCAACAAAGTTGATTGTTTCTATTGTGATCCGATCGACCCTTTTCTTGCACCATCACCAAATTTAAGAGAGTCATATATGTCGGAGGATACTTTGCAACAACTACAATGGGTTGAAGAACAACAAAAAAAAAAGATAAAGACTCGTCTCGGGCTCTCACTGAACGTCGTGACCTCATTGCGGCGGAGTGCAAAGATGTTGAGGAAAGGATGACGATTACAAAAAAAAAATCAAAGATCATGAGGAATGGATTAAAAAAACGAAGAAGAATCTCAAACTGTCTGAAAAATGGATTGCTGACATGGATGCAGAAATGATAGAACTTGGTAGGCAAAAGGACCGTATGAAAGATAAAATAAGAATAAGGGACGACTACATAACAATGGAGAAAGAAAAGTATCCTTTGCAATTCCCTTAAGTTAATTACCGTTGTTTTTACGTTTACTATATGTTTCTAGTTTGTTGAATGTATTAACTTCGAGTATTCGTTATTATTCTACTAGTAATTATGCACTAATATAATCATAATATTACCCATCATCTTTAAAATAAACACACCAGCTCAAAGTAGACAAATTAGTGTCCTCTAAAACAAAACATAATTAATTATAAATACAACATCAATCATTCAAATCAAACGTTGAACAATAGTCTTCTCTCTGCGTCCCACTTGTCCAACGCGTCTCTTGTGTCCCGTGCGTCTCTAGCGTCTCCTGAGTCCCTTCTGTCCCTTTCCCTTTTCCTTTTGTGTTACTACCTGATGCCGCACTAGTTTTTCTAGCCTTTTTTTGTTTCTTTGGGACCAATGTCGGACAAGTCGCTGCATTATGTGTTGTACTATCACATCTACTACACCTTCTTACTATAGGTTCCTCACCTTGTGACGGAATATGATTTTTGTTTCTCGGTCTACCAGCTTGACGTGTATCCATTATCGGGGGTTTCACAACCATCATGTCAGCAGGAATCTCCCAATCACACGGTTCTAGAAGGGGGTAAACCGGCTCCTCATACGTACTTCGGTATGTTTCCATTTTGTAAGCATCTATAGCCAGATGTCCGAAGTTAGTTTTTTTCAAGTGCTTCAAGACCATTATCACATGACCACAAGGCAACCCAGTTCCTTCCCAATATTTGCATGTATAAGTCTCTTGCCTCAGATCAACTATGCCACCATGTTTGAAATCATGAACTTCATAAAGTGCATCTGAAACACCAGAAACGGACCATCCTGTCGTACGCTCTTCATTTTTACTAACTACTTTTTCAGCCCACTCGGTTAGTACTGTTGAACGTTTCCCTATAAAGAAGATATATATAATTAACTAATTATTCGACCTAATTAAAGTCAAAATAAAATTCATACCTCCTTCGATGCGACGCTTGTTACACCATTCCTGTGAAAGACGTCGGAAGAACTCAAGAAGGGGTATTATAGGCATCTTCCTTGCATCTATAGATAAATCATTCATGGACTCTGCACTGTTCGAGGTCATGTAATCGTAACGTTTCAACGGTGAATATGCTCTAGTCCATTTAGCACGGGGAATTTCACTTAGATACGTTGCTACTTGCGGCCTAATAGAACT